GCTGGTATTGAATAATAGTCTTGTGTAGACTGAAATTTCACTAAACAGGTGGGTCTTCTAATAGAATACTGTACACAGATGAGCTAATCTAGGTGTACTGGAGGATGCGGAAGTGTTTTTTCTTTCTACATGGAGCTGACCTATACAAAAAATACTTGCATTCAAAACTTGCTGGGATAAGACAAGGAGTGTTATGAACAGGTCTGTGAAAGTGAAGTTCATTTAAGCTTTTATAGTGCCCTCAGGAACGTTTGTGTCTAAACCACTTCAGTTTTCCAGTTGCTGTCTGCCATTCTCCTATGACTTACTGCCATATACTGAAGGTATGGAGATAAGTGTTCAAAAACCCAGCTATAATTGCGTGGAATTGTTGTCTGCTTAACATGGCTCTGTCATTATGCCTCTGTGAAATGAATGGCAAAAAGCAATGGAACACCTTGAAACAGAAGAAGAAAATGTACAGTACTCTGAATTTTGGAAGTGAAGCAATGTGGTTCTAGGAGCAGTATAGGCCTGGCTCTCAGATCCCTGAAGTATGCAGGGGTATTTAGGTTAAGTGCACCTCCTGCTTCTAAACAGCAACATTTCTAAATGTCTCTTAGTGTCACACAATACTTGTTGAATGGGAGCAGTGCACCCACAGCATCACACAGGTTCAGGGGCTTTGCAGAGGTGAGTTTATTTGTGCTTGGAAGACCTGGCTGAACCACATCTTCTGCTTCCTCATGGGCCGCTGCTTTGACAGCAAAGCTGTCTGGTTAAGCTGTACACTTGCTCAGGCAGGATAGGTGAAAACTATGAAAGCATTCAGTTTCTGGAAACTGTAATATTAACTAGTTGCCTGTAACTCAACAGAAGACTCCATTTTCTTCACAATAAATCAATACCTATGGAAATTTAGACCCTCAGGGGTTGAGTCCTGGATGCTTTCTCTGGTGAACTACTCCATGAGGGGAGGCTGCCATCCAGAAGACTGAATACCAAGCTCCTGAAGTTTCTACTTCATGTGAATCTGAATCCAAACTGCTCTGTAAATTGAGTTGTGGAAAATCTCCTGGGAGAAGATGACAACAGTTGGAAAGTTACCAACTCATTTTGAATCTCACATACAGACTTCTAGTTTAAAAAATTCAGTTGAATTTTATGTTTGGATGAAGTGAACTTCTTGATAGATTTAATATCTGTTTCTGGGCTAGCTGACTAGTCAAGGTGTTTGGAGAGCATGATTTAACAAAGTAATGTGAAGCAGCCTTACCAGATAGCAGCCTGGATAGTTGTCAGGTTGTATTTCCAACACAGGCAGTTAGGTCCAACTTGCCTGGCACTGCGGGATACCAAACATGCTTTCAAAATCCTCTGACTTCTGTACCCATAAATTCAGGTGTCTTGAGGAATTCTAGGAACTTCACAGAAATGCATGAGGAGCCTGCCCTTGTGGTTGTTTCACAACTATATGCAAGAACCAGTAGCTCATGAACCTGAAAGTCCGAATGTCACACTGTATCTACTGTAGGTTGTGATCCAGGCCTTGCTACACCTTCACCTGACCTATCACTACCATACTTCAACAGATGACAAAGCTGTTTAGACTGTCCTGAGGAAGTGGGGGACAGAGACTAAGGATCTTTACTTTAGAAAAAGCTTTGAAACTTCAGAAAAAGCTTTATGGATGCTTGCTAAGAAGTGAAGAATGTCTTGACAAAACATGTCCTCCACAGCACCTTGCCTGGCTAACCAGGAGCAGCCTCCCCTTCTCTCTGCTGTGGGACTGCTCAGCTTTATGGCAGACTGACTACTGTGAGTAACAGAAACTTCGACAAAAGGCTTTGAAAGCAGTGGGTACCTGCTGTGACTTGGACTGTTCTGGTCTCTAATAGTGGTACCTCAGAGAGTTACTTAAAACATGGATGGGCAGCTACTTGGTGCACTAAAGGTGAAGCTGATGCATGAGCCACTGGCACTGAAGTCAGACACAGCTTGCCAGCTTGTTTATACAAAATGGATAATACCAGCCAGTATTTCAGATGCTTGTGGGTATGATAGTTATACCAACTGATAGAAACACAGGTGGCTGCATATCTCCTTTCCCACTAAGCTCTGCAGGACATACTCCTCTTCTTGTGATAAAAGCAGACTAACACAAATGGTGCAGTCTTGTTTCCTGAACGGAAAACAAAAGAAAGAAAAAAAAAAATTAAGTCACCCAAGTATCATGGAAGAAAGGCTGGGCAATTAACATGGCATGGAGGTGCTTTGCTGGTAGGATTACAGCCTGAGGTATCTTGCCTCATACTTCAAAGCCTGTCTCTTTCTAGCAATAGCATAAGACTTCAGCAAAATTGATCCTGCCTACTGTTAAACAAGGATTCAGCAGCTATGTGTGTTGTTTCTAGTGCACTTAGCTAGGAGGTTCCAAGAGGAGAAATAATTAGGTTCTAACTTGGGTTTCATCTACTGAAAAGTTGCCAAGTAGCAGGGTATGATGCCAGCTGTCTCTGCCAGGGGAGGATTCTGCAGATGAGGCAGAACAGCGCAGTAACACATTATCTCTCTTTTCCCCACCACCACAGCTAGCAGCTCTCCTGATTTGAACCACTGCTGGTACAGAAGCTTTACTTGATGTAGGTCTGGATTGTTTCATCCAAGATAGAACTATCACAGCCTTTAACACCCGAGACATTCCACAGGACCCATGACTGCAAGAATACACTCAAGTGCCATGAAGTGAATTCAAACCTTCACAGGCTTCTGTGCTGCTGAAAATGTGCAAGACTTACTCATATGATATTGTTACTTCCCGAGAGAATTATGAGGAAAGTGCTAATTTCATACTAACTGGCTAGCAGCTAACTGACTGTAAGCTCCATCTTTGGTTCTTTTCCTAGATTCTCATATTTTAAGCAGATTCCATCACATGCTTTAAGCTTTCTTTTGGAAAAGTTTTATTACAAGTTTTTGAGATCTCCTGTGGAACCAGGCTAAGCTGTTTCTGCAAGTTAATTGTCATACTGGCTGCAGATCTGGCACAACTTGTACGTTAATGCTTAATGCACATGGGCAATGATGAGCTGTCTTTTCCTTTGGAAACAGAAACAAATTTGTCTCCAGCTACTGTGGTATCCCAAGGTTTGCTTTGCTTTTTACTCTGCTCAGACAAATTCTCTTGGGTAGCTGAACTGCAGATTTTATGAAGCCATCTCCTGTTGTTAACCTTATCCTGTCTACTGCTTATTCTGTTTGTGTAATTTGAACAGAACTTCTTATCTACTGAGTTAGTGTGCCATTGCTTCCTCCTGTTGTATGTGTTCCTCCTATGCTGAGTCTGAGCCAGATGCTTGTATAGCTTGAAGCGTCTACCTCATGTCTGAGCTGGCAAGCTGTGCCTTGCTCCTCCTGCTCTTTTGCCCCCTTGAGAGCATTTGAGTGCCTGCCTTCCTGTCTTGCTCACCTGCCAGTTAAACCTGAAACCATCTATTTGTTGGCAGCCACTTCTGTGCATTGGCTGAGGGAACGTATCTCACCTCAGTTAGTAGACAATAGTTTAGATTATCCCTTTCCCAAAATGTCTAGGCTAAACAATTATTTTCTCTACTTCATAAGGCAGCCCTCAAGGTGAAGAGCGATGCTGCCACGGTTCTGCAGTACTGCAACAAACAGATGGCTCTTTATGAAATCCTAGTACTCCCATGATGGGTTTGTGACAATGACTGGTAGAAATTCAGCTGTGTTTTTAACCTTTATCAAAAGCTGACCTTTGTAAGTAACTTTACCTCAAAGCTCTTGCCTGTGATTCTATACCTTTGGCTAAAGGAGCATTGATGAACAGAGGGGGTCTCATCGACGCGATTGCTTTGCTAAGATGATATGTTTTGTCTAGCCACTTACAGCTGTGTGAAGTTGGGTCTAGGAAGTAACTGTGTAACTAAAACACTTCTAGTTAATGTGCTTAGCTGTAGTAATGTTTCTCTGTTTAACAACAAAGGAAATCACTCTGTGGATAAGTCTATTCCTGTGCTACTATTAAAAAGATGCAAACAAAAACCCTCCTGTCTTCTTTGAAAAGAAGAGCCATTGATCCTTAGGACTTTCTGTGTACAACTTGTCACACACTGTCAGCTCCCTCTGCTACAAAACCAGAGCAAAGAACATGTTAAGTTGCTGTGATATTTATGCAAATGCAATAACTGCTGTTACGGAGTAGCTGGTTTGTATTGAAGTGTGAGATTTGAAGGTGTGTGGATGTACCAAGTTAGCTATTAATTTGTTTTGCTGTGATTTTCTTCCTAAAATAGCAACTTGCTGGATCTTTCGCCCTCTGTGTTCTCTACGTGCTGGATGACACTCTTAGGCTTGGGAGAATGGGAATGAGGACCTCTCCAAGGAAAAAGTAGTGTTTTCATTTGCTTTAGGCCTCCAGCAGGGAGGTGCGCCTAGACACTTGTGCAGGAGAGTATGATCTGTAACTGTTCTGAAGTGCAGTGATGGCGATTCAGACTCTCGCTGCTGTCAACATGTGTGCAAGTTAATGGACTGGATGGGAGGCCTCTGATGAAAATTTTGCTTCTTCCGCTATCACAGGAGTCTCCAGAGGTGAAAGCTTACTGTATTCCAGACAGCTGAACTGTTGCCGTTTTGCCTGAAACCTGTGTTATAAGTAGGTCTCTTGATTTGCCTAGCTGTTTTGTTTTCAGTCTAGGTTGGCTCAGTCTCACCAGGAAGTGTTGGTTCAGCAATGCTGTCCTTTCTTATGAATTGAAAGCAGGTTGTGCAGTACTTAGGGAAGGTATAGTGTGCTTTATCCTCAGCTTAATGACTTTAGTGTGTTGCCCAGGTGTTCTGGAAAAGGGTGATCCTTGGAGGTGCTGAAACAATTAACCCTTATAATATATCAGAGAAGCTTGTCTGTGGTGTCTTTGAAAATACTATGCTTTACCTTGAATCTGTTAAGCTTATTAAAAACTTTCTTTCTTTTTTTTTTTTTTTTTTCCTCTCCAATACAGGATCTCAGCCTGCCCAATGGCACACCAGTGGACACTTCTAGCCCGGCCTCCTCCTCATCTCTCCTCAACAGACTGCAGCTGGATGATGACTTGGATGTGGAAACTAGAGACCTTTTTGTTACAGTTGATGATCCCAAAAAACACGTGTGCACAATGGAGACATATATTACATACAGGGTTACAACAAAGGTACAAAGCAATATTCTCTTTCCTAGTACTTCCTTCTTTGTGGGATAACTTTAGGGCATACTGGATATTCACATCTTGCACTGTTATACTATCTTAAGGACAAGAACTTAGTGTCTTTCGGTACCTTGTGAATGTGTTGAAGATGTGACACTTCTTAGCAGAACTGTTACTTCAGTGTCTGAAATTGTGGAAAAAGCTTTTAACATGTCAGCTTAGGTTTATTTTTTTGTCTCTGATTCCTAAATAGAACTGCTTGTAAACTTGCAAGGCCAGTTTCTTTCATTAACTTCACAGTTTGTTCATTTAAGTAATCTGACACTCACTTGGTTTGAATTCCCTTAAGGGGAATGTGCCTTTTGGTTCACTGTTAATCATCTCGCTTTTTGTGTCTGTCCTTTTCTGAAAAGCTTTAAGCTTGTTGCTGGAAGTGTTTTCTACATTTTCTCTGTTATCCACTAAAATCATAGTCTTGATCCTCAGCTGTAAACTAGCTTTCATGCAGTTGCTGGTTCAGATACTTCTACAGCTGTTAATAAAATGAAGCAGCCTTAGAATGCTGCTGCCAAGCAAAAGTGGCTGGAGATTTTTTCAGCACCTGTTGTAGTTCAGTCATGAATGTAATCTCTATATATTTTTATGAAAAGTGATCTGAAAAGTCCACCACATTCACAACTGAAATATTGATTCCTCGTAATTAACTCATTCTTACTATAATGAGCTCCTAGGTGATGTTGACATCTACTTTGGGCACTTGTAGTTACCTAAGGCAAAAGGTGTTCACTAACTTTATTAGTAATATACTTGATATATTTGTCCAGAAAGATTAACATTCCTCCGGCCCACTTAGATGGCAGTATGTACTGGAGCAAATATTTTCAGTAGAGATAAGGAAGCTTTACAGGCCACAGATGATATTTTTCCAAATGTCCACTTCAAAGTTTCACTTTCAGACTGCACAGGAGAAAATGGAGTTTCTCTAAAATAGTAACTATCTCTTCCTGCACATTTAACACAGTTCTGCCATTCATTTTTACTCTAGTAGCGTTAATCTTTCATGAAGCCCTTTATCTTTTCTTACTTGGAGCAGCTTAGCCTTCAGCTATTGCTTGATCAGAAGGAATAGGAACCAAAAAATAAAATGCATCTTTCCACATTAGAGAAATGGCTAAAATTGGCTAATGTTATTTCTCTCTTAAATTAAGATTCAAATTATTCTGTCAATATAAAATATTTCTATATAGTGGCACCCTAATAATATTCCTATGCTTGGAAATCCTAATGTTCAAGGATTATATGCTTTTCTTTTTAAAGCAGAACTCTGAAACATAGCCAAGCTCTTCACCATATTTAGTTCAGAAGTATTACCAAACAGTGTCTCTTTTCTTACTTAAAAAAATAATTCTAATACTTCTGATTTTGATGTCTACCTGCCTGTCTGTTAATACTTGTTTTATTTTGGATCTCATTGTAGCACATGAATCTGCTATATCATACCATTGCAATGCAGTTATGAAACTGAATAAGTTCTTCTGAATCACCATGAAATCCTCAGCTCTTTAGTTTTATTATTCGTTGAAACTTCTGGTTAATCTCTAGGGTCGGAACCTCTAGGACTATCTACCAATGTTCAAGACTTAACAGTATTAATGGTCTAACCCATTCTTGCCCTACAAACAAGGTGTCTTTGATGTCAAGCTAGTTGCCAGTTAGCCATTGTATCTACAAGCAGTAATTAAACTTCGCAAAAAAGCTGCACAGGAATAATCCATGGAGTGAGATGAGGAGTGTTCGCAACACCTCCCTTGTAGCCTTGCGGGAAAGAAGTTTGAGGCCTCTAAAGGGTCTCTCTGGTGATTCTGAATGAGGAGACAGGGATGGCTGGGGTTTTTTCTTCTCTGTTGGAGAACACTTCTAGAACCGCAAAGGATAAACATAGGTCATAGAATGAGTTATTCTGAAGACGAAAAGCAGCATCACTAGGGGAAGAGGGAGTTGCTAATGCTGTAATGTGTTCTTGCGACAGGATAGCACTGTAGGGAGGAGTGTAGACTGATCACAGTCTCATTTGTGTTGTGTGGGGTTTTTTTTACCTCTTTCTTTTTACAGGTCCTTCATTCTAACAGGAAAAAAAAAAAGGTCTTTCAGTATGCCCTGGGCTTTTCATCTTCTCATACCTTTGCCAGCAGGTGGTGGTGACTGAGGAAGGGTCAAAACCTTGGCTTGCAAAGGAAAACTTTACTTGATCCTGCTTGTGTACCTGTTTTCACAGCTCCCTAGTAAGAGCCAGGTAGCATTTCCTAGCCTGTGTTGTGGATGAACATATTTAAAGAACGTAATGGTAATCCTCCAGCTAACAAGATAGTGATTCAGGACTGATTCCCTTGATTCTCTCATACAGTGTGTTCATCTTGCTAATGCAGTTACTAATACAAGTTAGTAAGCACTTTCCTTACACAGAGGGGCTAGTGAAACTGTAAAGGTGGGTGGAAGTTGTGATGGAACTTAACGGGTCTTGACTGTGATGATTGAATGTCTTTATGTCCTTCAGATAGATGAATGTGCATTTTAGGGACATTTTACCAGAGTTCTTTTTTAGGAAGAAAGAGGAAAGTAAAGCTTGACCATATGTTGTGCAGTCATCTCTTCTGAGAAGACATAAATATGTGTACTTCTAACTTCACTTTCATTGTACTTTCTAGGATGGCAAGGCCTTCTTCTGTGCCTTTTGCCATGAAGGTCTGATTAGCTGAGTGCCATTCCTCAGTCATGCAGTTGCTCTGCAGGCTTGAAGGGAGAGTCTTTCAAGCCAGTCAGTACTAGCCAATGGACCAAGTGGAGGTCTTGTTTTCACTGTCCTGTCCTTCTCCTCATGCTCCCATGAGATTACTTGAACAGGTGAAACAGCTTGATTTCCTAGAGAGAAGCAAGTAAAAGTGATATGAAGTCTTTTTCAAACAGGCTAAGCTGAGGCAAAAAGAGATACTGGAGTCCTAAGATTGTATCCTGAGACCAGCCTTGTTCCCTTCCCCCTCTCTGTCATTCTTCTCTTTTCCTAGTTGAAGATTTTGCCTCAAACTTAAATAGTAACATGGAGGGGAAACTGCAGTCAAATCTGGTGAGTTAGAGAGTAGAACTAGGGTACAAAAATATTTTTGTACAGTCATCACAGGCTAGCTTCAGGTTTGGCTGCTAATTCCTTCCAAGGAAGACAGCAATCTTATGCAAGACCAAGACTTGGTGATTGCCTTAATACTGCCTCTAGTCAAAACCATTCCAGCAATTGAGGTAAAAGTGTCTGTAACTCTGCCTACTTTCCAGACTGTAAAACTGAACCCAGAGTGTTGCACTGCTGAGTTAGTGGAACTGTGCTGGGATTTTCAATAAGTTCCTGGAAAGGTCTTGCCCATTATTTTTGGGACGTTAAGATCTCCCATGTAAGTTTCTTTGGTTGCTTTGGAAGAGGCACATGTCCTTGCAAGATGAGATTTATGAATCTTACTGAGAAAGCAGTAAGAAAGTAATTTTCAATTGTGTTGAAAACATAGATGCTTTACTTGTTGTTTGTTACGGAAATTTCCCTGCTCAACCATCCAGGAGCCTCTTTGGCAATCCCTCTTGCACCACCTGAGTTGGACCCAAGGCCTCTTCCCAGCTCTGCCCCCTCACTCGCACGGTCACACCAGGTTTCTGTCCCTAGGTTTCCCATAGCAGTCTCAGGCGTCCCAACCATTAAAATAATTTCATCACAGCACAATAACAAACTAACAGCTCAAGCTGGTGTCTCTGAGGAGGGACCCTGAACAAAGGGACCCTGCCCTGGGCTTTCATCCCCTCAGCAGTCTAAGCGAGGGAAGGTCTGGGATCGTCGGCTCCTGCCGTGTCCCGGTGTCCGGTCCCCTGGCTGGGCCACAGGTCCCGGGGCCCTTGTGTGCCCAGGGTCGGCTCTCCACGGCCTCTTTGCCTGGGCTGCCCCAGCCTGAGCTCAGCCTGCAGCTCCCACTGCACTGCACCCCGAGCTACCTCAGTGAACGTGTTCCTCAGTGCTGCTTTGACAGTGGCAAGATCCTCCTTCCTCTTATGTGCAATCTGGAAAAAATAACTTATGCTAAACTAATGGACGGTTTGATCTGAGATGCAAATTCTTTCACCAGTAGTGAGGTTTCATTAAAACTTGAAGGGCCTTTATGTTCTGCCCAGATAGTCTTTGAAAAGCTTATTTGCTGTCTAGATTTGATAACCTTTACAGTAAACACTGAAATGTTGCTGCTGTATTTTCATCTCAGAGGAGAAAAGTGATATATGGAAAACTTTGCACTTCTGCTTGTGAAGTAAAGGCAGCAAGAGCAGTTTGCTAGAGGTGAACGACAGCTAATATATGGTTTGTGTACTGGGACTTAACCCTGCTTTCCAGCTCCTGGATAGTCCTATACAGTTTTCCCTAACTATTAGCAGAATAGTGGTTAATAAGCTTCTCAGTGCTAACAGATGGGAGACTTTACCTTCATTCTCATGCTGCAGGATAAGACACTGTAGTGTGTAGCCATTCTGATTATTCTCATTCATTCACTATGTGATTTCTTAAAATGCTGTTGGGCAGTGACCGCCAGGTCACAGAAGCTCTGCCTTCTACTGAGTTATTACTGCCTCATCCCAGCCCGTTTTTGGTTGGTTTTTTTTTTTGGTTTTTTTTTTTTTTTTTAAATTTTTTTATTTTTTATTTCTAGAATAAAGCCGTTCATTCTGTTACTCTAAACAAGTGAAAATGATTCAAATGAAGTCTCAGAAGTCACATTTATAGTGTGGCACCCTTTGATGTTAGATAAGCAGGTGTTACTCTGAGAAGAGTGTAGCTGAGTAAAGCACAGATCTGCAGTGGATATTGGGGTGTTGGTAGTCCCTCATCTACAAACACAACTGCTCCAATTCATGAGGATTCTTTATGTTAGTTACTAGACTAACCTCTATATTGCTTAGAATGGCTAGCAGGTCAAAGAAGGGAGGGGCTGATCCTGATTTCTTTTTCTGTCTATCTGTGCCTTCCTTTAATAGAAGCCAAATCATTTCATAGGTAGTAACACGTTAGATATCTATCTGCTTACAGTATCCTAGACCTACTGTGCTGTTGATACCATGTTAAGGTTCCTGACTTCACTCTAGAAGGAGATTTCATATGTAGAACTTTTACAGGATCCCCAGTGGTGACTGGTGGGAATAAAATGCAGGAATTGAAGAGTTAGAGTCATCCAGAGAGCAAGTGAAGAGGTGGATTGCATTTAAAGGCTGCTACTGGCTGGGACTAGCAAAGCAACCAGGTGCTGGACTCAATGCCAGTTCAAGGCTGGGGTTGCCAGTGTGTTCCCCAGAATGCGCTGGATTTGATTCCTGCTGCAGGCATGTAGTGTGCAGGCACTGCAAGCCATTCGTTGCAAGGTGGATGTAATGCTGCAAGTAACTTCAGTATAGCTGCCTGTGCTTCTCAGTGGGACTTAACTACAAGGGCTGTCTACCTTCTAATCAGGGCTGCTGCAATGCCAGGCTATTCAACAGACACTCCTAGTTGGTACACAGTTTCACAAGTGCTTTTAGGGAGTTGCAGTTTGTGCAGTTCAATCAGCCCCATACAGTCAACCTTCTAGGTTATGGACTCTTCAAAGACTGGATAAAACACTCGCCAGCAGTTTATCTGCATACTTATTTTTTTTTTTCCCTTCAAACTTGTAATGACCTTGCCCTAAAGAAGGAAAATTTAAAAGGTTTAATTTAATGTATTAATATATCTAATCAGCCGTACACATAAGCAGACTTGTTTCTTTATCTTGGAAGTCAACAAAAATAGTCCGTCAAACCTCACAGTGTCTTACGTTCTCACCATCTTTTGACCTTGGAGTGTGATAAACCCATCAATCTTAGAATACAAGACAGTGGTGAAACACTTTTTCACCTGTGGATAGTGCATGTTATAGAATAAACAAGTCAGTAAACACCTTGACTTTTAATTATTGGTGATTAAAATAGTCTTGTCCTCACAATGAATATCTCATAGTCTTTGCAATTGTAACTGCCAAGAGAGAGTAATGTGATGCACAGTGCTTCTGCTCTACAGACTTCTACCATGATAAGAGCAGAACATGTAATGAACTATTAACACATCAGTTCTAAGTAATCATTTTTCATATTGCTGCTTTTCCACTGCCTGAAAGACCAGAGAATCTTTCTCTCATGCTGGCTGCAAAATTTTGGGGATTAACACCTCCCTGCAAGACTTGTCTGGCTTCATCCTTGCCAGGGGTGGCTGTACTGCATTTGCTGCTAAGCTCTGAAAAGAGAGGTGTTGCTGCACACTAAGTCTATCCTGTTCTTTTCCAGACCACACGAGCAGAGTTTGATTTGCCAGAGTATTCTGTTCGTCGGCGGTACCAAGACTTCGACTGGTTGAGAAACAAGCTGGAAGAGTCTCAGCCAACGCATCTTATTCCCGTAGGTAGTAAGCAAGAATCTGCTGTTAAGGACAGTTGTGCATCTGTCTTCCAAGGGTAATATTTGGATGCTATGTGTCTAGATTTAAAAAACAGTACTTCATTCTCTTTAGCTTCCCATTCCTGACTAGTTAGGAAGCTTAGACTTTTCTTGAGTGGCACACCTGAGAGGTAAGATTTGTCAACCTCCTGCAGGGCAATACATGTGCTGACTATGGTAGCTGTGACATAAATAAAATACATTTCATCTATTTGCTCAATTATTATGTGTGTATTTCAAAGCCTCTGGGGATTATGAAAAGCTACAGGTACTTCAGGTTCTAGTGTTGGTTTTCAAGATGGCCTTTTGAGCTGGTTTTACAGAGTAATTTAAAACTGCTTGTGCTAACACTTAATAGCACTGACATGTAATAGCGCAGACTTGGAAATCTCAGCCTCTGGTTTGGTAGCTCTTGCATGCCTTCAGTAGGTAGAAGTTTACCTAATAAGACTAGCTAAACTACTGCACCCATTGTTGTTGAAACTGGTGATCTGACCACCTTATTTGATGTGAGGAGGTTAGTACTACCTTATACGTCTTCTGTGTGAATAGGTAGGAAACCTGTGAATCACTGCCTTCACTGATCACAGAGCCCTTTTGAGCAAAGACATTTAAAACACCCTGTAGGAATTGAATTGGCAGGAATAGCAACACTACTAGCATACTTTAGCTTCCCTCCCTCCCTCCCTCCCTCAGCAAGGAGTAGGCTGTGTGAGAAGTATTGTTAGGTTGCTCTATGGTTGAGCACTGTTTAAGTCCTTAATTATGCTGGGACTTGCCTCAAGTGGAATAATAGCTGAGTGTCTCAGAGATAAGAAGTACTTCACAAAATCATGTGACACCACTAACTGGCAACAAATATGTTTAGTGAACAGTAGTGAAAAGAAAGGCCGTGAGCTTGAGAGCATAAGGTGGAGGCATGTGTAATGTGTTAAGTGCCCATACTGTTTTCTCATGCCCCATTCTCTGAACAGCTGGAACAATCACAATTCAGTTTCTGCATATTCTTGGGTAACTAACAGGCAGCCAGTTCTGCCTGAAGCCTGCCAGGCTGTAAATAATAGTCGAGTAGCAGAAGGTGAGTCACTGCTGGGGAATCAAGCTGCTTTGCTCCTACCAGGAATTGGTTGCAGACAGAACAGCAAACTTAGCATGAGTAGCTGTAATACTGGACATGGAACCAGCTGCAGAACAAGCCAGTATCTTAGATGCCTTTCTTCTAGAAAATCTGGAGATAAAGGATGTGCTGTTAATAAAGGACATAAAGGATTTTTATCTGTTTATGCACAAGTTAGCAAATATGGAATTTCCCATTAATCTCCCTCATGCAGGGTATGGTAGGGAGACTGCTGAATGCTTTATGTATTTATTGTCTAGAAATAGATGAGGTATAGAAGCTAAAGGCAGTTTCAGATGCACTGGCTCAAGTGTTTTCTGAAAAGATGTTTCAAGACAATCTGAGACTGTCTGTATTTGTAATTACAGATACTGGAATCCCCGAAAGCCTTCTGTTTTAACAAATTATCAAAAGGGAGTTGTCTTCCTAATCTCAAGATAGCAATTCTGCCTAAAATCTTCCTGTAGCAAATGATATGTCTTATCAGTGCAGTGTGTCATGACAGCCTGCACTTGGGAGCTAAAACTAAGCTCAGTATGGATTCCTCTTCATCTCTTCAGTTACTGATAGTTACTTCTTTTTAAAAGATCTGAGACATTCTAATATTTTCTTTCAAAAAACAGTAAAACTGGTCTCAGTTCTTTCTCTAGACTACAATGGTGAACCTAAAACAGCCTAGGTTCTTGTCTTGGGATGGTCATGTTTGGATACTTGAAGCCATTTCTGATGGAAATGAACTCTGCTCATACATTTCAGTAGGGAAAAATAAAATAAGATGAAGGATGGAAGACTATAAGACAGACAATTAACACACAGTTAAAGCAAGATATCAGTTCCTAGCTGTGTGTTTTGATTACTTGAGATGGACCTCCAGAGGCCTAAAATGGAAAGGAATGTACCTAGTGCTGTAGTTGAAACCAGGTTAAATGGCAGAAGTCTTTGTAATAGACGTGCATTCTTCAAATGCTCAAACTTTAGTGATTACTCAGTGCCAGTTTGCATGTGTTCAGTTGAACTTTAGACTAGTTGGTTCTTTACTGTACGGTTCTTTAGACTAGTCTTTCTTTCCCTCCTTTTTTTTTCTTTAAAATTTTTATTTTCGTCCTGAGGTAGTGACTTCCTAGAGTCCCAGGTAAAATTTACAAAGCAAAGGAAGAGAGTTTCTTCCTCCCTGAAGACTAATGCGCAAGGCATTATACTGCTGAAGAAGTCTAATGATAGTGTACCTTATGCTGGTTTAACTAGAATGACTGACTGATTTGAGTGTTAAACATAATCGGGTAAGTCTTAAATTGTAAGAACCAAAGACAGTGGTGAAAATGTAGCTCTGTTGCAGCTAAGTCATGCTGGCTGTGCTCTTCTAGGAAATACAGTTTTCATGTACAACCCACAGCAGTTCGGATATGGTGGGAAAGCAATATATAGAGGTTTTTTTTCTTTAACTATTTTGACACAGATTTTAGATGACAAACTCTTTGCAGAGGAGAATCCTGATTCCTGAATTGGGTGAAAATGGCTGTCACTGCTAGCCTAACTGTAAGCAGATTGTCTGGATGGACTTGTTCACAAAAATGAAATACAAAGCACAGTTTTAAGTGAAGGCCATGGTGTCTGGATAGAACAAAAGCAGATCTAGTGGTAGAGCTGAAACTAACCATGCATCAGCTTAAAAAGTTATCCTCCATCCAGAGTGGTACTTTGGAGTCTGTAATCCAAGTGTAACAGAGGGGACTGTATAACTAGCAAGTCTGGAGACAGTCTGGGCTTACATGTCAAACTGAACTGCAGAGATGAACTGATGGACTCTAAATAGTACGATGTAAAAGTGGATGTATAAACAGGCCTTTGTCACTTACTGAAATGTACTCAGGAAAGTCAGCTGTGATAGATGACCAGGTGTGCTCATACTTCAGAAAAGATCCAGCCGTTTGCTGTGTCAAGCCCCTGGTTTGTTTTTGCTCAGTGTTCTTACTAAGGCTGTCAGCCTTTTACAGGAGACCCCTGTTGAAAAGCTCTAAATTGTTCATAGAGGGTGTGTGGGGAGTAAGTAGAATTGTCCAGTTCTCTGAGTTTTCTGAGACTGGGCAGACTTGCTTCAGCACTGCGTGGTGGGATGGGTGGGGGGGTGTGTGTGCTTCTGTTATAAATAGCATGCAGCTCTTCTGGCATCTCTTCAGAGCTGGATCTTGAACATGGATAGCCGTAGGGAGAGCAATCTAAGCTATGCTAAAAGTATTTAGTGTGAGTACTGTCTGACTTACCTGGTGTGACTCTCAGCTGAAGCCATTCAGTAGAATGGCTAGTTTTAAACCAGACCAGCTTAAGGATAATTCTGAGCACAGCTTGCGTCCCATCTGATGCATGGTTCCTGTTCACAAACACAGTGCTTCAGTTCCTGTTAAGACTGGAATTTCATTGCTTTGTTTGCTTCCAAATAACAGAAGCAAGTCTTTGGTCTTTTGAATCTTGTGCTGTTTGCTTATCTCTGACAGCCTCTTCCTGAAAAATTTGTGGTGAAGGGTGTTGTTGATCGCTTTTCGGAAGAGTTCGTGGAGACAAGGAGGAAAGCATTAGACAAATTCTTGAAGAGAATAACTGATCACCCAGTGCTGTCTTTTAACGAGCACTTCAATGTCTTTCTCACAGCTAAGGTAAGCCAGTAACTTTCAAATGCAGTTGTTGACCTTTGCAGTCCCTTCTGAAATGAGGGTAAAAAGGCATTAACAAAACTACATGTGCAGATCAGAGCTTCCTCTTCCTCCAGAGGGTTGTTGGGCACTCTGACTATGGTGTGTGACAGACCCTTGTGTGTGACAACAGTATGGGTTCCCTGAGCTTGAATGGAAGAGGAATCCCCTCTGTAGATTGATAAATTGAAGTCTCCAGACCTGCTTGTTTTATAGCATGTAATCCTATTATGCAAGAGAGAATAAAAATTCAGAAATCTGCAGACTTTAAAATCCTCTTTTGGGAGGAAGGAAAGGGGGAGAGGAAGAAAAGTTTCCCTTGCACAAAAGCTTGCGAATTTTTTGACTTTTTATCTTGTCTGTTCTTTTTATACTATTTGCACTTGATGCCCTCAAAACTAAGCATGGAGGCCTCATTCTTATTTGTTCTCAGCCAACAATTTCAAGCTTGTCTTCTGCATGACTTATGCAGGAATAGTGCAATTTTCTTGGCTTTCTTTAGAACTGCATTTCAAATAAGACTAAGAGGACTTGCAGCTGTACTTGGGTTTTACCAGATAGGTGAGAAGTGCTGTAAAAGTACGCCCTTCCAAAGTCACATTACTCTAGCTCACTTAAATGTGATTTTTGAGCTCACTTCAGGTTCATGCTTTGCTTGCTGTTAATAGTCAATTTCCAGTGTTTTTATTTCCCCTCCATGGTGAAATTAACCACTGAAACAAGCCAGAAATGCAGAATTTGTTTAGCATGTTAAATGTCATATAGCTCTGTTCCTCTTTTGATCTGTCCAAGCATGATGCTGCTTTCTTAGCTGCTTTATTTGTCTTCTACCATCCCTGTGAAATGAATGTCAAGGGCTTCATCCTCTGTGAGGTGAGGGGAAAGGAGACCTGTTCTGCTGACTGTCTCTAATGTTTGAACCTGCTCTAGTGGAGCAGTGAGGTGTCAGTTCAGTGTGCTAGGACTTCAGAATTTACTTACTATAGGAAGTTGTAAGATCACCTCCTGGTTGAAGAAGAGAGACCAACATTTCTTCATATTCCCTGTTTGGACCTGTAACATACCAGAATGCTTGAGAGAGTGAGTGAATAATTTTGAGTTCAAGGATCTTTTCTGATGCCTGCTTGCAGCTCATGCTGAGGACATGGGGAAAGCAAAAACCAAATTGCATTTAAATGCAAACATAATGGAAAATTATAGTAGCTGCTAAGATGTCAGGTTTTCTTAATCAGACTTAGATTTGATTTACGTTAATTACTTGGAAGGAATACCACAGTACATGTTTTGAAGATGGCTATTGTTTATTTGTTTGTTGGGTTTTTTTTAAGAACACTCAAGCTTTTAGTCTTGTCTTTAGTAATATGTCTGAACTCTTGATCTCTACAGCCTGCTTGGTTTGAACACATCTCTTCCTCAGGATCTATAGGATAACCAAACTATAGCTCCTGAGCCTGTTTTGAGATGTTGAATACTGACCTCTGCTGGAAGAAGTAAAATGAAACCTTGCCAGCGTTTTGATTAACTAAAACCATTTTTTTTTCTGGTATGCTGTTAAGGTGATATCCCATGAAAATTGTAGACAAGCAGTCTTGTTAGCATAAATAATCTGAAAGCTGGTTTATGTGAATGTGTAAAGGAGTGTGAAGGAAGTTTACACTTTCTGTGCCGCAATATGGATGCATCTGACCCAGCCTGAGCTACAGTCTCTCTTGCAGAGAAGCTTTGCTGGTCTCCTCATGCTGCATTTTTTCTGCATGCAGTCTTCACCTGCCTCCTGTTTGACCACAGAACTGGAGTGAGGAGGCTGCTTACCAAATAGGTGTGCAATGTGTAGCTCTATAGTAGGTCATTAGAGCCAGCTGGTGCATCTGTTTAATACTGGTATTGTAGCCATGACTTAGAAGTGTGGGTAGCTGAATGATGTGAACTATTTTGGTGGAACCAGAGCTGTTAATAAGCCTGCTTCCCTGGTGAGAGTACAGGAGAATGGGAAAGTATGGCCACATACAAAGTTTGACTATGTATTTATTTCTAATGTACTTCATACTGTTGTCCTGGACAATTTACCTCCATGGAGCCTTGAAGCTGTGCTCAGCTGTGCAGCTTGTAGAAAGCAAGCCTTTGTTCAAGGCTGTATGTCACATGTAGTCTGTTGCTTTCAAAAGATTTGATCTTGACTAGAAAGTATCCTTCACTGTATTAATATTTAAACATGTAAGTCAGTATTCCTAAACATATTCTTTTTTTGTTTAGATTTGTTTGTTTGTTTTAATTCCTAGGATCTTAATGCCTACAAAAAGCAAGGGATGGCTTTACTGTCAAAGATGGGGGAGTCTGTCAAATACGTTACAGGAGGCTACAAGTTAAGAAGTCGGCCACTGGAGTTTGCAGCCATTGGGGATTATCTGGACACATTCTCTCTAAAGCTTGGTACCATTGATAGAATAGCACAACGGATCATCAAAGAACAGTTGGGTAAGGACACAAGGTGTTCCATCATAATACTGCAGTCTGAATGCTCTGTGTCTTATTCTGGTTGATAGCATGATCATGACAAATCGTGTTGATGATTCTGGCCTGTAATAAGTCACACACAGGGCAAAATCTAATGCCTGTTCCAGATTTTAAAAAGGCCCAAAACCTAACACAGTATCTGGTATTAGCTCAATTCTCCAAATATTTTTTTTAAGTTGAATTTTTATACCAATCTACTGTCTTACTGGAGTAATTTTTTTAAGACTTTTGGAAGGTGGAAGAACCTGTAGATTGCACCTGGAAGAGTACAAATGGAATTCCTATACGAATACAAGCTTTACAAGTCTAGTAACTCTACAACTCAACTAGTAGAGTTAGGTTTTACATATGTTTAGAAAACTGACCTTGGCTACAGGTGCAAGAGTCTTTGTATTAGAAGTTGAAATGGTAAGTTAAGAAAGAGACATCTTGAACCTGTTGCCTGTGCAGCCATAGAGCTCTATTAAGTCTGTTAAGAAGCTAATACAACACAAGCCTTGACTCCCTGTGGGGATTCATGTTATTCAAAATGGGTGTGTAATTTCACCTATTTTGTGTTTGCTCATCTTTGTGCCTTGCTCTTTCTCTGTTAATCTATTTTTTCATCTGCCTCTTGTAGAATACTTGGTGGAACTACGAGAATATGGACCTGTTTATTCAACCTGGGGAGGGCTGGAGGTTGAGCTGTCAGAGCCACTGGAAGGAGTGTCTGCCTGTATTGGGAATTGCTGCACAGCTCTTGAAGAACTCAGTGAGGACATGACAGAAGACTTCCTACCTGTGCTTAGGGAATATATATTGTATGCTGAGTCCATGAAGGTAAAGGGAGGCCTGAGGCCTGTGACAGAAAACGCTGTCATGTTTGCCTGAAATTAGTGAGTTCATTCTTTTATTATCTGTCTGCTCTGCTCTTCACTCAAGCTAGGGTCAGTATTGCAGGGTGTACAAAACATGTTACAGAGTTGCCCCTTCATTGGTTTGGGAGGTGGTACTCTATAGGAGACATCCTGTGGCTGCCTAGAGTCTTTCTTCGAATTGAATCCGGTTGTGCTTCAGCTCTTCACTGCTTTGCTACAGGGACACTGCATGGTCCAGCAGGAATGATAGCTTTAGCAGTTTCTATCATTTGTATGTAGCAGAGTTGGGTGCCTTGTTTTAGAACCATGTGTCCAAATGACAGACATTGCTTCCTCTGTCATCCCCATACCCTAGGCATGATATGTCTGTTGTTAACAAGTTCTGCATACCAAGTAACTGCTTAAAGATGTTATTCTGTTACTCATAGTTTTTAAGAACTTGATGTTTTACTGTTTGTGCAGACATAATAAAAGCTACTTTAGTGTGGGTTTTATTCTCTTGAAGTTATGGAGCATTGGTAATTAATCACATCTAATGGGGAAAAGAATTACTGAGTTAACTTCACTAAAAAATGATATCAGGGACTTCAGTTTGTCCATCAGAGCTTTTCACCACTTGCCTGTGGCACAGTATGTGTGCCATATATAGATATATATAGCAGTCCCACTACAGGGTACTAACAGACAAGTTCCTTCTGAAGACTTTCCACTTGGAACAGCTGTTACAAGGCTGCGATGTGCACTCCTTTACAGATCTAATAGCCCACTGTAAACTTACAGTCTGAACATGGTAGTCCTTCTCTATCTTAATCTCATCCTATGCTTCTCAAATTGAGAATTTAAACACTTTCTTGTAGATGTCTTTTCTCAGCTTCAGGAGCTGTACATTTGTGTGGTTAAAGTATTCTTGCAGGTGGCTTTGCACTAATTCCATGGGTATATTCTTTGCTTTTGTCACCATGGATTTGACCCCAGCATAAATGAGGTGTATTTTCTTTATGGGTCTATTGCTTGAACACAGTGAGCTGTAGGAAGCCTTGTCTTGGGATGTTTGGACTGTAGGAAGTGCAGGCAGATGGAGTGTGCTTACAAATAAACAGAGCATGAGGTTAGTGAGTTAAAATACTTTAACTCAGAACATCTGGCTTTTGATGCTAAAAATGCCTACCAAAGATGGCATCTGAAGGGGCAAGCTGAATTGTGAGAGGTGCTCTTCAAAAATACAGCAGGGGAAATTTTTTTAAGCTGAAAGCCAGGGTTTCTTCATCTGAAGAGGTACTTTAGGCAGATAATCACCACTCACCACAGGCAGAGCGGCATTACAGACTTGCATCTAGGCTTCCTTTTGGCCTTTAGAGCCCTTTTAGAATGGCACTGTCTCCAAGCCAACAGTTACTGTACTTTCTAAAGTACTTGCTCAGCTAAAGAAACCCTTGCTTTTTAGCTTGAACTTTTTAGACTGTTGACATGACTTTCTAGTGCTCTAAACAATTATGCTGTTTAGTGTCTTGGACATCTTATTAGCTTTATTCAGTCTAAAAATTTGGAAATCAAGAACAAAAACTATCATTAGCCAAGACAGACGGTTTGTATTTTCCTTCCCTCTCAGACAGCAAAACTGAACTCTCTCAGGTTCTACAAAGTGCAGCTTTCTTCTGCTAGAAAGCATCAGCCTGTTCTGTTTTCTGAAGTGAGCAACTACTGAACTGTCCTTGCAAAATCCATAACGCTAAGTAAGTAACCAAGGTTAGTAAGGAGTGTACCCTTGGAGAGACTTTCTGTTGAAGGGGTTGTCCTCTTCACTAGCAGTGCATTCCTCTTCATCAGCTGCTGTGAGGACTGCTTGTGAGATGAAAGTCTGTTTTTTTCTTTCAGAGCATATCTTTTGTGCAGGGTACTTGATGGAGGGTAACTCTTCAGGTACTAGGAGTTAGGGCAACCTTTCAGGGCAAGCTTTCTTTGTTGCACACTGTACTCCTGGTGTAGGTTTGGGAATGTGATCTATAGAGCAGTTTATAGCTGAATGTCCCTTGAGTAAGAGCTTCCAGATTATTGTCACTGTTCAGAGATGAAGAGGTCTTGATGTCTGCAGGAGCACTGTTGTACCTAAGGGGAAGAGCCTGAGAGAACTGCACATATTGAGTCAAAGCCCAGTATTCTGTTTGAATATTGAATAGAATTGAATATTGAATATTCTACTGAATAGAATATTAGCTGTTTTGAGGGAAGCCTAGCCTCTAGATTTGTTTGAAAGATTTGCAGAACAGGGCAGAAGCTGGTGTCATGGGCTTGAGTTAAAATGTGTGCTGGAAGTGTCTAGAAGAGACTCTTTCCAAATTACTTGCCTTGCTCAGCACTGCTTAGGCCACAACTGTGTTCAGTTTTTATCCCTGCTGCACACAAAAAGATAAGAGGGTCTGGAAGAGGGTCTGGTCGAGAGACTGAGAAGCCTGCTGTATGAGGAAAGGCTGAGAGAGCTGGGTGTGTTCAACCTTGAGGAAGAAGGCTGAGGGAAAATCTTACCACCATCTACCAGTGTTTAAGGATTGAGTACAAATATGATTAAAGCTCTCTTTTCACATGGGGACCCATGGAAAAACAGGGACAATCAGTGCAAATTACTCCTGGGGACATTTTCATTGAACACGAGGAGAATTTTCACAATGGGAACAATCATCCTTTGGAATAATGTCTCCTGGGAAGTGGTGGATTCCCCAACACTGGGCACATTTAAGATACAGCTGGACAGGGTGCTGATCCATCTTGTCTAGACTGTGCTTTTGCCAAGAAGGGTAGGATGAAATAATCCTCGAGATCTCTTCCAGCCTGGTATTCTATGGTTTCTATTACCTGGCAAGGTGATGTCTCAGTTCCTGGTGCAGTGAGGCCCTTGTCAGCAAACGTGGTACCACTTTTGCTGATGTACACTGGTGTTGCCCTGGGAGGCGCATGCAAAGGACAAAATCTCCTGTATATGATTCATTGCAGATATTAGGATGTTATATGACTTCTGTTTGCTCAACATTGCTAGAAAGGTTTACCAAGTGATGTGATCCCCTGGGGTGTTCTTGGATAATACTTTTAATGCATGTTTTAAGCAAGCACCACACTACGAGGTAACTATGTAAGTAGCTAGAGATCCTCCTGTGATGTTTAGTCACAGTAGGAAGCTATGTGGTGCGCAAACAGGATTGAAATTGAAATTTGAGGTAGGAGGCCCATGGCAAGCTCCCGAAGCTCTGTGTGGGCCAAGGTGTAACGTTTCAACTAAATACAAAATGGTGAAGGACCTCCTGAAACTAGGCTAAATCTTCCATGCTCAGACACCACTTATTTACTTTTGACCTAAAATAACTGAAGTGTGTTGGTTGAGGTTTTTCAGTTTTGAATTTGGTTTCTTCCAACTTTTTTTTAAAAAAAAAAACCCCTATTTTTCTCCCTGAGTGAGGCCTTAACTAGTATTGCATGATCTGTGGTAATTTTGAGGATACTTGGTGCAGAGCTTTTCATAATTGCTGCTAAAGCATCAAGGCATTGATCAAGAACAGAGGAGATAGCTTGGAGGTGCCAGAGGAAAATAGGAGACAAGTGAAAGGGAGGGCAATATTTTTTTCATTACCTACAGGTCAGCCATTACGGGATACTTAAAACTGTATTCACAAGCTCATTGTTAGTGGTCCCCAGTAGGTGGACTTGAATGCTTAAGGGCAATTAAGACACCTGTTCTTTGAATCCAATTTGCCAATAACTGTTAATCATTGGCTACTCCTGCTACAGATTCAGTGCTAACTCCAGGCTTCTAAAGGCAAAATGCAGTTGCTGGAGGCAGTTGTTTTTCACAGAAGAAATTTCAGTTGATTCAGGTTCAAGAGGCAATACAAAGCAGAAATATCTATTAAATCTCTCAGACTTTTGTTGCATTGGTAACCTCAATCACTTAAAGGCCATCCCACATAGTTGCATAGATTCAAAAGGGGCAGTGCTGTGGTTTTTCAACCAAACACAACCAGTGGTATGCTTCTGCACCCCTTTTGAAACAAAAGAAAGAATTAATCTCTTCAGGTTTGCCCTCTTTTTATTGACTAATGTAATAGTAGCTTTGCGGATAGGGTGCCATTCCCATTTATCATGGATTGAACGTCTCCACTCTAGAGCAACTGCATTGGTGACCTTCTCTTGGCTTAAGAAGGAGGAGGGGGATGATCATGATTAGTAGATACAGGATTTGTATGTCCTTAATTGCTCTTAATTAGATCTAGACTGGCTGTTAGAGCTCTGAGGAGCTACTCTTCTAAAAACATATTTCTGTAGGCAGCAGTGCACATGACTAGTCCTGTGTTACTGGCCTTGTCTGGACCTGTTGTAGTGACTAGTTACCACTTGGCGTCCTAGTGGGACAATTCCTTCTAGGTGGCAGAAGGGAAGACTCAAAGCCAAGTTAGCTGCAAGAGAATTTCAGACTTACAGAGAGTGTTGGCTGACTTCCCTCTGAGCATTTTTAATAATAACTTTGCATCAACAGAGTAATTAAAAACTACTAGTTGTTTCTTTGTGAAACCTGAAGTGGTAAGTGGCCTGCTCTTGCAGACACAAAACTGTTTATTTTTTTAGTAAGTGATTCTTAGAAAGACTAATTCCTGTGGTTGTTTTCAAACTGTAAGACTGTAGTATAAACTTAGTGAAGTTCTTTGTGGATATAGTACAAGCTAAGGGTAGCATCTTTGTCTCTCTATTTTGAAAATACTCTGTCAAGAAAATGTTTACTGCTTGAGAACCTCTCTCAGGCAGTCCAGTGCTTTTCATGTAAATTGTCCTTTTCAATTTTTTTTTTTAATGAAACCGACAACTAAACACCCCCCCCAGCCTGATCTAAAATAAAGGCTTCCTTTTGCTCTAACACCAGAATGTGACAGCTTGCTTTAAAGGATTCTGAAGAGTCTTTGCAAGTGAAAAGGCAGCTGTAATACCTTCTGTGGTGGTCTTCCTGTCTCTTAGCCAATGCTGCTTGAGAATATCAGAAACTTTGCATTAGTCCTCGTCAGCTTTGATGCTTTTGTTTGTATCCATTTCATGGTAATAATAGGTCAACTGATGAATTAAATTTACTTGGTCAAAGTTATATTAGTGGTTTCATGATTGCTTCTATATTGCATGCCTCCAGCTTGATAAAATGTTGAATTTTATCTGCCCTGCCAGCTGATGGAGAGCAAGTGCTGTTCCTTATCAAAAGCTACTCCCTAAATACTGTAAAATAGGACAAAGTAAATCTGGAAGTCTGACTTTGGGCTTACTTGGCACTGAAGATGTATCACTTTAGAGTTTCTTGTGGACTGGGGGAAGGAACAAGAGGATCCCTTCACAGCTCTCTTTTCTCTTGCCCATAGAATGTTTTGAAGAAGAGGGACCAAGTCCAAGCGGAGTATGAAGCAAAACTGGAAGCAGTAGCCTTGAAAAGAGAAGACCGTCCAAAGGTTAGCACTTACAATTGCTCTACAAAAACAGTTTGCACTTACACTACTTCCTGTAAAGAATGGAGAAGCAGAACTTGCTTTTTTCCTGGATCTGGGGGCTTCTTTGCAGTATAAGCAGTTTTTGGCAGAACAGAAGTTTGTTGTTGGCAAGCTGGTGTGAAATAAAGACCTAAGTATATGTAACTTGTTTAACAACTTCTGAACTACTGATCTCTCACAGTTTAGAGCAGGATAATTCTATAACACTTCAACAGCAGCCAGCAGTCACTTGGACTGTTCAGTGACAGGTTAACAATGCATAGGTAAAACAGTCCCTGGTGACTCAGCAGTATGCCAGCTAGCTGAGTTAAAGTCCTGTCCTTGGCACTGTGGAACTGTATTGTTGCAGAACACTGCTTTTGGCTGTGGAAAACTCCTTATTTTGCCCTTTCTGCTAGGGAGCTCTACCTGTGTGATGCTGAACAGAGATGGCATGTGTCATTGGATGACTCTGATGCTGGGCACCATGCAAAAGCAAAGCTGTGAACTCACATGCTTATGCTGCCACCTGCTTTTGCAGGAAACAGAGTGCAAGAGCCTTTTCTTAAATCACTGCAGCTTTAACTGATGATGGCAACAGGGTTTGTTCCCTTCCTCTGCTTGGAGGTTTTTGGTTTCCCTTACATTTGTGTTAATAATTAATGTATGATTTTCCAGTATTATGACTGCTATACAATAAGGTTCACTCTACAGTAGGTTCACATAGTATTTTGAATCTAAGAAGCTGAAGGGGATGATAGCATAGAAATGTTAAAGTGTTTTTCTGATCTTTTGTCTATAATGAGCTACAAATAGTGGTGTACTAGGTGTTTTGTGGTGCTCTTGTATTTGGGTCTACTGCCCACCCCTCTGCTGGCTGGGGTACTGCCAAGGAGGCCTTGCAGGCCCTGTGCCTGCTACAGTGTGGTACACACTCTCCTTCCTCAGTGTGGCTTTGTATAAACAGGTGCTAACAGTTGTATTTGGGATGGAGGGAACTAAATTTAGCATTTCCAGCAAGCCAGTTCTTAAGCATTTGACTGTACCAAGACCTTGATACAGTGGAATTGATGAATTTTGCTAATCTTGCACATGTTAAAAGTCCTTTGGATCTCATATCTCAGAGGGATTATTTTGAATAACTTTTGGAATATTTTTTTGGTTACTTACACCTCCTCTCAAGAGTATCAGGATATTTTTTGGCAACTCTTGTACCTTTTTGTAACAGAAATAATTTGTGTCATTTACAAGATGAAGTTGAACAAACTGTGTGGAACGCCTTGCATGTTCACAAAATACTCTCTCTGGGTTTTTCAGAACCTTTCCAGCTGGAGGATATGTCATTATCTGTAAGAGCTGGTAGCTCAGAGCTGTGCCTAGCATTATATCTTATATTCAGCAAGGTCTCCTGGCTGTGACTTGCTGGAAACTAAAAGCCGGCAGAGAGTCATGTTGTGGAATGGCATTTGTCTTCCTTGGCATATTTGCTGATTTGGTAGAAATGATGTAAAAAGATCCCAAACTAAACCTTAAGAGAACAAAGACCTTTGCTTAGCTCTTGAAAGACAAACCTATCACTACTTAAAAATCTCTCACTGGAGGGCATTCTGGGCCTCCTGTGGACATACCCAGCCTGGCATCACAGAGCTCACCAGGCCATCAGATTGTTCTGGCAGTGAAGTCAGCCTAGAGCTCAGTGGCCTATGAATGCAGAAGGCTTGTAGTGCTGCTGTGGCTCTCTGTCAGCAGGTACTACTCAGAATGCTGAAGCTTATACCAAAAGCCACCACAGTGGCTTATTGTATTTGCAGGGACCCTCGTGGCAGGGAGGAATGATGAATCTGACTCCGTGCTCTCAGAAGGCTAATTTATTACTTTATAATACTATATTATATTAAAGTATACTATACTAAACTATACTAAAGAATACAGAAAGGATACTTACTCAATGCTGAAAAGATAATAATGAAAACTCATGACTCTTTCCAGAGTCTTGATACAGCTTGGCACTGATTGGCCAAAGAGTAAAAACAACTCACACCAGAATCCAATGAAACAATCACCTGTGTGTAAACAATCTCCAAACACATTCCAAAGGAGCAAAACACAGGAGAAGTACGTGAGATAATAATTCTTTTCCCTTTTCTCTGAAGCTTCTCAGCTTCCCAGGAGAAAAATCCTGGGCAAAGGGATTTTTCAGAAAATGTGAATGCCACAGTGTGGGTGGTGTTTACCAGTAGCATCATGGTGTTCATGTGGAGTCTGCAGCCTTTCAGTTTCTAACATGTGCAGTGGTATTGAAATGCCTCTCTCTCACATATTTCTGACCCACGCTGAAGCTGATTTTGCAGTAATCTAACTAGCACACTGAAGGATAGGTGTGGTTTTGTTTTGGTGAGGTGAAGTTTGTCTCTGATGATCTGTTTCATTCTGTCTTCCTCAAGGCTTTGAAGTGTGGTGATCTATGGGAAAAGTAAATACAGCAGTACAGAACTTGAATAGAAGGTGGGGGAAGAAAGGCCTTGTAACAGATAACAGTTTCCCAAGACCTAGGAAGGTAGAAATATCTTTTGCAAATATTAGTTGTCTAATTAATGCTGGATTTGTTCTGCTTTAGGACCATTTGTTGCTTGGTAATGATGACGTAGAGGAGTTTTAAAGTGGACACGCTGTTTGTAATCGACCACACTGAATTACAGATATTAGGCAAGCTTAGATTTTAAGACAACAGAATTGTCACAAAGAAGATTAGATGCAAATGCAGAACCCCATATCATATATGGCTCAGTTCTTGCCTACATATACCTCTCTCATCAGTTGAAATTGACTGCTAAAATAGTCCTGGGCCCTTTAAGAGGTGTTGGAGTTTGAGCCAGTTGTCACTTTGGTTTTGTGGCTTGAGGGGTTTTTGAACTATTAAGTAGCTGAGAGCAGGTATCAGTAAAGAAGTAGCATTCCCCCTGAGTCCAATTGACTTTCTTCCTGGTTCTTAGTTGTTAGCTAATATTTAGTGTCTCCATTGGTAAAAACAGATAAAAGCATCGGCTTTGATACTTCAACTTAGGCCCAGATTTGAAGATAAACATATAATATCTCTTTGCATTTGAGTTTGCACTGATATAAAGTGCTTAAAAGCTATTAATTAACTTAAAATTCTGTCGTAACTACTGAGTTGCAATTTATGTACTAGGAAGCTGCAGTTTATAAGGTAAGGCATTTGCACACCCAGATAGGACTGCTGCATGTGCAGACACTACTTTCATGATGTCTCTGGACACTTAGCTGGAGTTAGTTGTTGTTGTTGTTGTTCCTTGATGAGAGCACACGTGACACATCTGCTGACTGGGTTATCCCTGTAGCTCTAAACTCATACAACCCTCTCAGCCTGACCAGCCAGAGAACTTGCTGTGAGAAAGAACAGATTTTTGCATATCTTCATTGTGGTTTCAGATCCTGGCAGAAGAAGCAGGGAGCCGGTGAGTGCTTAGAAGCTAAGTTAGTTGGATTGGGAAATCTTATGTGGTTTTGCTTCCAGACTTCATAAATATTTCTCTTGATAGCCTAGCCTTTCCCATTAAGATAGCAGAGTACTTATAATGCAAGGCATACATGCCTTGAGGGGGGCATCTCCTAAACCTTCCAGTCACAGGCTTGGTTGTTCTTGTCTGCAGTCTGTGGGGGAACTTCATCTGGAGTTGTAGCAGAGTGAATTCTGTAGCCATAAGTATGGTGCTCAGACACGGCAGGGAGGAAAAGTATCCACTGAACCTCCAAGCTGCCTGTAGTGTAAATTCAGTGTGAATATGGGGGAACTTCAGTCCCATGAGTGTAAAGAACTCCTGGATCTCAAACAGGTTGGTTTATTGAAGAATAGCTGAGTAATAAAGTGATCATCCCTAATCCGTGTCCTGGAGCAGAAACACAGTTGGTGTGTTTCTGCCTAAATTGAGTGCCTTGCCAAACTGCAAGATAGTAACCCACCTCTAACTTCATGTAGGTATTCATGAAAAGCTTCTTATGTAGTCTGTTCATCCTCTTCCTTCTTTCACACCCTTCAGAAAGGGTGATTACTGAAAGTATCAAGTACAAGAGGAGCCACCACAAAGTTCTTCAAATGTTCTTCATTCTGTATTTTGCTTTTGTGCAAGTCACAGCGTCCAGAGCAAAAGTTCACTTCTCACTTTGGTACCAGGATTCAGGAGTTTCTCTTCTGAGTTCTTGGGCTTAGTCTGCATGCCCTTACAGGATTCTGTGTGTCTGTGTGGCCCATGCAGCAATGAGACGGGAAAAAAAGGTGTTCGGCTTTCCTGCTTGAGGAAACAGTAGTAAATTATTCCTGTATTTGCCTGGTGGTATACATTATATTAGTTACAACATAAGCAAAGGACACCAACTTAGTTGATCTAAAGTGTATGTACCTTGGGTCAGTGTCAAAAATTCATTTAAATTTCTACCTCAGCTTGCAGCAGTCTGTCCTTCAAGATGTCATCTGTTGCTTTTGCCTGTTGCATGCCTGTTGTTGAGCCTAAAAGTCCACGAGCCTATCCCATGTTGATGATCATGAGTGCTTTGCAGTTAAATTTTGTTCAGGAAGCCTGCAAGGTTAAAAGCGGAAGCTAGAAAGGACTTAGAAATTTTATTCTGCAGCTGTCAATACTGAGGTGTCTTACCTACCTTTTTTGATAAACCTGAGTGTTTGTTGTTATATAGACACTGGTGTAAATTGGGACATTCCTACTGCAGCTGTAAATGGGAAGCAGAAAAGTTTGCTGTGAAGCCAAGCTGCTTAGTTTGAGCCCTAGGAAGTGAGCCTCAGTACCAGTACTTACACCAAATGGTTTTCCTGTGCAAGTGCTTCCTCCATGCCTCTATATCAGGCATGGAGATGGACAAGCACAAGCGCTCACCACCTCAAACAGCAACTAACAAATTAAGCAATCTCATATCCTCTCCAGCACTTTTTCCCTGCAGCCATAACTCATTGGTTCAGGATAACTACTGGGTTATGAACTTACCCTTTCTTCTATAGTTCCGCTCAGTGAGGTTTGAGCTAATTCAGCAGTCTAGCACTCTTACTGACAGTTTTAATCTTCATTTATTTTGCTGCAGGTACCTGCAGATGTTGAGAAATGTCAAGACCGAGTAGAATGTTTCAATGCTGACCTGAAAGCAGATATGGAGAGATGGCAGAACAACAAAAGACAAGACTTTAGGCAGCTACTCATGGGGATGGCAGATAAAAACATCCAGTACTACGAGAAGGTAGGTGTCACTGTTGGAGCACTGGCAGGAATAAGAGTTGTTTATTTTCCTCTGAAATGGTGATAATTCTTCAGGAAATCTTCACCCTGTCTTGAAGACAAGAATATTAGGCATCTGAAGCTGCTCTTTGTCAGAGTTGGAAGTTGTGGTCAAGTGAACTCTGTAAGACTAGTGGTCTTTTGCGAGTCAGTACTCTAACAACATTTTATCATGCGTGCTTGTCTGTTTTGCACTTTTGAGTTGAACAAATTACTGAGCAGCAGCAGTAGTGATGAAAAAAACCCCCAGAATCGCACATACTAGTAGTACTACCACAGTAGAAAAATCCCTTGATTCTGCCTTTTCTGAACAAAACTGCTTGAGTTAATGCACATGCACAGACTCATATATAGATTACATCTGCTATGTATAAGTTATTCTAATCCCTGTCCCTTTGTGCGTTGTTTTGTCCCTTGTATATTAGTCATATAAGTTTCAACCTCCTGCTAGAGGCAGGGGTGCCTTTCACTAGAGTAGGTGATTCAGAGCCCTATGCATGAACCGAAAACACTTCCAGAGACAGAGCATCCACAGCTTCTCTGGGCAAGGTGTTCCAGTGTTTTTTTATCCTAAAAGTAAAGAATTTCTTCCTAATTGTCTAATCTAAAGCTGCTCTCTTCCAGTTTGAAGCACTTGTCCCTTGTCCTGTTACCGCAAGCCCTTGTAAAAAGTCCTTCTCCAGCTGTCTCCTGAGCCCCCTTTAGGTGTATTAAATATTTATGAAATATTAAACACTGCTAGAACTACTAGGCTTACGCATTGCCTAGTAAACTATACTTCATCTTGTCTGTTCATTTGTGTACATCTACTTTACAAGCTTCTTCCTGTGCTATTACTCTCCATGTAATATTAGTATGCAGTACCTTTTCCCCTTCTAATGATAGTTCATAACTGCTCACACAGAACTTCCTTCACTCTGGTATCTCAGTTCTAAGGTTGCTGTGGAGGGAGATATTAGAGATGTCACTGAACATCCAGTAGTGCCTCTGCAATTGATGGTTAGATCTGTACATTAATTTTGCTTTTAGCAAAGAAGGTTTTTTGGTAATAAAGTGTCCAGTCACTTCAGGGTATACAACTAGAAGTACTCTATTCATCTGCAGTACAATCATCAAGGTTAGAAGGAGGGTGTCTTTCAACAAGGACTTGTGGATATAAGAGCTGCTGATGAGTTTGCCCATTTTCAGCATTTAATAATTTGGATTTCACAGTCTGCATTTGCCCAGTTTGACTTCTGGGCTCTGTGTGGTTGAAAGACAGTAACAACACACAGTAACAACACAAGGACTATATTAAGTGTACGTGTCTGGGAAAATTACTCCAAAGCCTGGAGTGGCTTTCTAATAACCCAGAAGCTACACTTACAGTTTACTGTACCAGGCACTACGAGTTCGTCCTGTAGTGGAGTCGAGTCTCAGAGCCATACTGGAATACACTGTGTCTCAGAATTAACTTCCCTAAATGCATGTTTTCTTTCAAATAAGTTTGCTGTAATCTGTAATAGCTGCCATTGTGTCCAAATCAGCCTTCACCCACAGTCACACCACAAAGATGTATATTTCTACTCAAAACAGTTCATCTGCCTAGCTGAAAGCTGTGGTATTCTTCAGTTTAGAAAAATTTAGCTTAGTATTTGGAAATCCTGGGTGTTCTGATGATTTTTAGTGGCTTGGGCCAGCTGATGACTTTGGAAAACTTGAATTTGTTGAATTTGTTTGGGAGGTGCAGCTATTCTAACACTTCTTTGCTGTTTGACATTCTGGTTTTTTCTCCCCTTCTGTAGTAATCTATAAAGACCCACATAACTTTTCATCTTGCATGCTGTTGGTCTGGAAGGGTTGGTCAGAAGTTATATAAATTAAATTTTGTAAATCTTTCTTTCTTTAGTGCCTTACGGCGTGGGAGTCAATTATACCACTATTGCAAGACAAGCCAGAGACCAAATAAGAAGTACCTTGATGGACAGTCTAGCACTTCTGTGCTCAGTACCACTAGTCATACTGGAACTGTATGGAGGACTCTTTTTGTTAAGTTAACTGAAATGACAGCTGCACTTAGTTTTTCAGAGTATCTGTTCCAGCCTATTTGAATTTTTTTTTCTTCAATTTTTGTGTTTAAACTGGGGTATGTTTCATCTTTTTGAGTTATCTTGAATGGTTCCTTCTTTATTCTATGGAGTGATTGGGGTTCATAGAGAAAGTGCATGGGGATCTTGATAAAATTTACCTCTCTAGTCTGGAAGGAACTGATGAGTGGAACACTAAAAAGATGAAAATAAAACTCTACTGCAAGGTGCCAAATGACATCTTTATTACCATTCTGTTTTGTTTGCTTAAAAAAACACCCTATTTCTCTGATACAGTACTCCCTAACCAATCCTTACCTTTTTTTTTTTTTTTTTTTTTTTTGAATGGACAAGGAAAGGCTGGGAAAGAATATTTTCTGTTTTGCTACCACCTGTGTGCTCCCTCTGGATGAAATGGTCTCTGTAGACTTTTCTGTCTGGGAGTCAGGCTGGTTCTAGACAGACCATACCAACACCAGCTGCAGACAGCTGGTGTTGGAAGCATGAACTGTGGTTTTTGTGAGTGTGGCATGCTGTTGGTTCATACTGAGTATCTTTGTTTACCTTGGTGATTATGAAGTAATGTCAGTTGACTGAAGTGTACTTGTGACTGACTTGGGGATCAAAACCAGCCCAGCTGCGGGAATGAGTTGGACTGCAGCCTTTCAGGGGTTGTGGGAATGGGGGAGGAAGTATGAGTCTTTAATTTTCCAAAGCTAGCTCTGGAAGTTGCGTGGTGGAGATCTCTTACACCCTGCTTTATATATGAGTTTCACTAGAGCCACTTTAGGCTTGGTCACCTAAGATGCCTGCTGTAGTAAAAGTAGAACTCATTTCTTTCCCCACGCTTTCTTTGCAGCAGCCAAAAGCCAAAAGGTGTCAAATGCTTCCTTCCACCAAGCATCAGTGTGTGTGAAACTTGCCTTAGATGGGTTGGTGGGGGATAGATGGGTACCCTGTTAGGTACACAGTGTTCATACCTGTCTCTGCTGAACCACATGGCAAGTCTTTTAGGACCACTTTTGTTACAGATCTCTTTTCTTAGTAGTTTCTGTTGGCCTTCAGAATTGCAGCTGCTTCTGCAAGTCCTTTTTTGTCCTTGCTCTTGCAGTCCAACCTCAAGTAAATGCCTGCTTGGTGTTAATGGCCTTAGGAATGCTGATGTGATTTAACCATTCTAGTGAGGGGGGCTGGGACTCATATGAGTGTAATACTGGGATTTAGGGCAATAAATAACTCTGTGCTTACTGCTAAATTGGAGTGATTACTTGTTCTCTGGCAATGTTCTTGCAAAGAATGTGAGCAGTGATAGATTTTGTGCAAGTTCTCTGTTCTCCTGTAACAACCCACCAGGTACTAGTCTGGTTAGGAATTTATTTCTTCATTAACACCAACTGAACATGCAGCCACTCTTCTCAGCCTGGTGGCTTTATGGAACTCTTAAGATGATTGTTGCAGCACTGTGGTAGCTCAACTGTGTCAGGCTAATGAGATGGTGCTCTCTGCATGAAAAAGTAAAATATTAGACATTTTAAGAATTTTTTCTTTTTGGCTCAGCCTTCATTGACAACTCTGTGGTACTAAACAAACCGTGTTTCTTGTTTTAAGATCAGTTTGTCAATATGCACTTTTTGGTGTAAATGAAAACTCTGGTTTAAGTTACTGTTAAGTTCAGAATCACAGACTCCTCTTGTTCAGAGGAAGTACTTAAGGGGATCATCTTGAAGCAATCTAGAATAAGCACTTGCATACTATCCAGCAGTCTGTCCTTCAGGGTTACAGTCTTCCCCATTTTCCACAAAGAAAGATCAACATGCTTTTTGAATTAGTTCAAAAAGAACGTGGAATAAATGGAATTTTGTAGTTGACTCTACAACATCACTGGAACTTGAGCAAAATATATTTTTAACTAATATTTAGTCAGTCTTCCCACCACCTTATTAAAATAAACAGCACAACATGAGTAGAAAGAATGGCGATTTTTTTCCTACAGGTGGTTTCATCTGATGCCTTACAACACTGAGGGACTCCTCCTGCTTTGTTTTATGTCAGACTGAAGCAGGTGTTGCTTCTGGGGAGTTCAGCAATTAGCATCACAGCTGTTCAAGAGAAGCATAATGGACAGTGGAGAGTACCAAGTGAAGTTCAAATCAGCATGTAACTGTTGAGGCTGGAGCTGCTGAAGATCGAGCTGTCTTACGTGATCTGGACCAAAACCTCTTAAGCTCCTACACGGGAGGTAAAACTTGACATTCAAAGGAGAAGTCCTCTGCAAGAATTGCTGCAGTGTAATAAGGGTGTGCATAGGTGGGTCTCAGTTCCTACCGACTGTGGTCTGTTCTTACAAAGAGCTGTTGTAAATCACAAGGTGACTGAGGGAGAGGCTGTGGGTGAGATGTAGGGAGGATCCTGACAGTGATGTTTGGGGCAACCATGCCAGTCAGGAAAACTACAACATTTGCAGGAAATTCCTGTAAGATGTGCAGAGTGACATTGTATCACATAACTGCTGTTAGAAGGAGGTTGAGTTCTGAGCCTCTTAACATGTTATCCTGTAGTCCCTATAGAATGAAAGTCTTTACTTTCGATGGTCCACACTTCTCTAAGAGAAACAGAAGATGTTGGTAAAGGGAAGCAGGAGTAGTGCAGGAGCTTCACCTTTGAGTAACTTGTTGAGTGTTAAGTCACTGAAGATGACTCTCTGCACATGCACCAAAATGACACCAAAAGTAGTTGGTGCCCTTTTTATGAACCTGTTTAAAATGAGGTTCTTTCAGCAGTCCTTAAATCAGCACAGTTTTCCTCATAATCCATAGCCAGGGCAAGGCCCTCTCAGTGGATGCATAATTCACAGCTGCCCAGTTATTTCTGTATAGTTTCTGTGGTGTTTATTTCTTCTCTTAAGTGGCACCAGCACAATAAAGCAGGTACTGGGCTCTTGTTTCTATGCTCAGTAATGAACCATGCATTGTTCATGTATGCCTTTATCAGGATCTAAATCTTGCAATAAACATAGATGTTAGAACATCATGGCTTTTTCAAATATACATTGGAAAATGAAAAGGTAGTATGTGTAGCCCTAAAGACACAAACAGTTTTGGTGTGAGTTATATTAAAGAATAAAGTATGATTCTTCACTGAAATCTACTTGGATTTTGGCTGCACTAAAACTTGTGCTGAGGATAAAGTAGTGGAATAACTGATAGAAACAGTTATTCCACTGATATATGTTATAACTGATAGAAACAGGAGTGGCAGAGACAGTTCTGTGGAGGCACTGTGCAGTAGCCTTGAAGCAGTGGCACTGCATGGCCTGTTCATGACACGTTTCTTCAGGTGTCAGTCCTGCAGATGCAAGGGTACAAAAGAATTCTTTCCCAGATAGCAGGGACTGTTCATTATTTTAACAGGAGCCATGCTTTTGTTAAAACTTGCACTATTTAACTGGATATTGTTACAATTATTGTTGCAGACTGTTGAAAATCCTTGTCCTGGTTACCACTGGACAAAATTGTGTAGACTAAATTAGCTCATTAGATGTTCTGTCATCTTAAATTCTGAAGGTGGAACATTCTTTCCTTGGGTATATTAACTTTTACTACAACAACACATAGGAAAAATCTGGACTTTTTTTTAAAGACAGGCAAGTTGCTACTACTCGTTGGATTTGTTTTCCTCTTGTGAACTAAAACTGAGGATCACAAGAATAAACTTACCTTCTGGCAGATTGAATGTGGCATTTAAAACTTTTTGGGAGTGCTGTTGAGCCAATTTACAAACTAAAATGGCAGTGCTTATTTCTGTGCTTAGCACTTGAAAGTCTTGCTGAAGTATCTGACTTGTACTTAGTAATGGACTGGACAAGTTTTAAGGTTGCATGCCTAAAACACAGTAAATTTGCAGAAAATAATGAGCTTTCCAAAGAGGTATAAGTAGATCACCCTTAGGTAAATGGTATGCTAAGACAAGGTTAGTCACTGTCCTAGACTGCTTTGAAGGTGTTGGTATTCTGTGCTTTGAAGTGAAGCCATTTCCTTAACCCTGGTGCTGGGATGTGTATCCATACCTTCAGATCAAGCTGCAGTGTTGTGGAAAGTGCAACATTCTCACTGCACAAGGAGACAGGTTGCTGAGGGCCAGTCTTACAATAAGAGCCAAAGGGCTTTTGTCTACAGTTCACAAAAATAAAGAAGCACCGTCCTTGTTCTCACTTTTCTGTGCCTGTATCCCTCTGTCCCTCCCTAAGGTCTGGAGAGTTGTGCCATGCAGAAGGCAAGCTGACTGTGAGCTTCACATACTGTGTTGAAGGTGTCAGTGATGGGGACCAAATGGTGCTGGTTCCTTGTCCAGACTCTTCTGCTTTCACTCTATAAACCCACTCACCAGAACTAGAGTCACTGTTCATAGCATTAAAATACAAAATGAAAGCTGTGAAAATACTTGTCTCTGTGTGAATTAGCTAGTAAACAATGTAAAAATGGGAAGGAGGCTTTTGTTTCCTGTACTTGGTCAAATCTGGCAACTATGCTCTTGTTCAGACTCACAGGCTAGGAAATACTGTCTTGCCTTCTGGTGCTGGCATGTTTCTATACCCTTTCATATATCTCTTTAAATCTACTTTATGCATTGTTTACTATGGAGCTAGTGTTGATGGAGAAAAATGTTTTGAGGTAAAACTGTTTGTAATTCTCTATTACTGTGTACATTTTTTTAAATGGACCATTTGTTTACCTCAATTAATTTAATGGAATGGACCAATAAATGTATTAAAAAATGACTCCTTAGAATAAAGTTTCACTTTTTTGCGGTCTTCACTGGTGAAATTATGCATGTGCTTATTTTGCTAAGCAGCTCACTATCTTACTGCAGAAATATTCTTCCCCTAAAATCTTCTTCCACAGTTGATCTAAATAGAAATCATCTGACCTGTTGTTTCGTTACTTCTGGTACTGAAAGTGAAGGAGCTCAGGAAAGATTGGAGGAGGGGGGAGGATGGGGGGACAGGGTGACAGCAACTTCCTCAGAGGAAGGGATTGTGTAATGATGAACCAACTTCTGCTTGCTATGCCCCTGGCTCGAACTGAAGCTGCCTGATTTGCCTCCAGATTATTTCAGTTATTTAAGGACTTTTAACTTCCTTTACTTAGTCCAGGACCTTGGAAGCCGCTTAATCCTTCTTAGTTCGATTAGCATGTAAGCAGACACATCCTTGTGAGACATGCCACACTTT